CTTTCAGATAGCATTGATCAGTGTAGCTTATTACTGGTAATAAAATTAAAGATATAATTGTATCCATACTTTATACAAAAATAAAGAGTTGGTTTAAAAAAAACCGTGGACTTACAATGACAGCATCCCATCCAGAGAGAACGCATCACACCATATTTTTTAATTCTGAGATTCCAGCCCCCACATTACAGCCCACACACTGGTTACAGCTCTGCATAGTCTACGATAATTTCACACACTATGCCACGAATGATGTCCTAAGATCATAACCACAATAGTTTGCGTAGAGATTTATAATCCTAAATTTACAGTGACGAGTGCGGATGAAACATATTCTGTTTCTGACATAGCCGTAATAATAATTTTCCACATGAAAATTTTCTTCTTTTATCCAGAGTTTGCGATGTTCCAATTAGACATCTATCATAAATAAAACTTCCCTCTAGAAATATCAGCCCTGAGGTCAACCCGTGTTGCACAAGTCCCAGCATTTCACCGACCAAAGTTTCAAAGGAAAGCTCCAGAAGCATCTCAGCTGGGCCCGAGTGCCACGTCTCCCCGATTACAAGGGACTCATAGAGAGAGGTCATTTGCAACTACATTTTTTTTTTTTTTTATAACTAAGAAAATCATTTAGATTTTAGAAGGCCAAGAATTGACCAAAAGGGCGACTCGGTTATCAAGCAGCTCTGGACGTACATTTGGACTTATATATGCACTATCTTACCAGAAAAACACATGTTTTAAGGGATATACATTTTAAGAATTAGCGGTCTGGGCAAATTATAGTGAAAAAATATTGTACCTGAAGAAGTTTCAAAACAGTGAAATGAGGACCCAGAAACCATTCGTAAGGTCAAGTTTCACCCTCCAAGAGATGAACTGAAAGGGTTCACTTTTTCTGGCTTCTCTATGCAGCTCCAGACGCCCAGCTGGCAAGGAGGCCGATTTGTATGCTTGGCCGGATTATATGCTCAGTGCGCCACTGTATTTCACCAATAGACGGCTCGATTACTGTCTAACTCTTTAAAAAATGGCAGCTGTTTTATTAATAAAGACGTGGGGTGGAAAGGGGGAAGTCATAATTTTGGGATTCAAATGACATATTGATAAAAGAGCCATGGAAATAAAAAATAAAAAAAGCACATATTTCTGAATATAATGGATAAGACCTAACTCTTAAACTACATCAGATGTGTCTGCGTTTTTCTATTTTGAAAATACTCATTCCCTTATTATGTCAGATGCATACACTTTTTATACTAACTGTTTCTGGGGAAGGGTTTGAAGAATAATCCTGTGGACTAAGTCCATTCTTAATTCCAGGCTTCTTCACGTCTCTTGAAACCAAGATTTCAAGAAAACTTTTTAGGAGTAGAGAGTATTTTCCTTCTCTGAAAAAAAAATATCACAAATGTCTTCTTTACATTTAGAGGAGCATGAGTGAGCTAACTGGATGTGTTGGTAGAGCAGAACCACTCCGATTTAAAGTTTTAGATCTTGCAATTAAGATAATTTCCAAACAGTAAAAGTGATAGCCACCCCTTCCGTTTACGTCGCCATAAAGCGGCAAACTTAGACCAGTGCTTCGCTCCGTACGTCGCTCACGGGCAGGACAGTAACGGCTAAAACTCCACAAATAATCCTTTGCATTAGAACTCATCCCATTTACAGGTTCTCACTAACTAAATCATTTATTAACCAATATTTCTGGAGTACCTGCCGGCTTCCCGCCGTCTGCCGAGCGCCGGACGGACAGAGGAAGGAGAAGGGGGAAGACGGGCCAGACGAAAGCGACATCATGCCCTGCAGGACCTGTCCGAGGAGGGAGGCCGCCGCTCATCGAGTCCCTGCATGACCATGCGGTAGGAGCTGGGATAAGCGACACTGATTCTCTTAGGATGGCGAATCCCGGGGGTCAGTTTGTTGAGAAAATGCTGTTTGAGCTGGGAGTCGAAGGCACGTGGGCATCCGCTAGGTGGGGATAGTGAGTTCCTGGGCAGGCGAGACTTTTACGAGGACTGTGTGAAGGGACATGGCCGCAGGGGACGGGCAGCCACCTAGCTGGCGAGCCTAGCGTCGGAGTGACACGGGCGTGACTCTGAGCCGGGACACAGTCACAGCCCAGACGAAGCCTCAGACGTCCTCGGGCCGAGCTACGCAACCTGCAGGTCACGGTGTGAAATGAAAATGTGGGCTGTCTAGTTCACAAAATAGGGGAAAAAATCCTATCAAAGGCACCAAATACAAAGCATTTTGCAAATACTTTTTGATAATTTTTGATTTTTAAAGGATCTTTCTGCCGATGCCACTGTCAGGGAATTAAGAGTATTTTATAGATTACAGCAACAATGGAATAGATTTCTCATTGATTATTTTGAAATATTGATTTTATAACATCTAGAGCTGATGATGCCCATGAAAGTTTTTTTCTAAAAAGATTTAACTCTTAATACAAATCTGTTTCCTTTAAGTCTGAATTTAATTGTAAATGTAAATTCAAACAGTAGAATTTAATGTTATTGTGACATATATCTTGTGACCTGTGGGGTTTGTCCAAAAAACTTAAAGTGGTTTCATGATTTGTGTACAGTCCAACGTGCCTGTCCATGAATTACATTGCCATCTCTTCAATTACCAGGAAACACTCATTGATAATTGGAGCTTCGTATAATAAGTGTTTTTTTTTTCCCCATTGAGTGGGATAACCTTTTTTTATTAAATTTTTTGGGATGACTTTGGTAAATAAAATTATATAGGTTTTGAGTGGACAATTCTATAATACATCATCTGTATATGGCATTGTGTGTTCACCACCCAAAGCTAACTTTCCTTCCGTCACCATATATGAACTATAATCTTTAAATTTAATTCCTATGTATACGCGCGAGGATATTAGCCTTGCGACGTCGCACAAACTCTCAAAGCCACGTGTTCTGCAGTCTGAAGAACGTGGAGTCATGGACAGGCTTCACGGCCTGTCCGTGCTTCAGCTTTTCTGTTTTAATCCTTTGCCTGGGACGGTCACCGTCTGTGCGCGGACGGTTCCTGCCTGGCGCCCAGACTGGAGAGCTGATGCTTCTGCAACCGTCACAGAGACAGCTTCTGGGGACAGATGGGCACGCGGTCCTGTCACAGCCGGTGCTGGCGCTGCCTGTCCTCTGAGTCCCTCGTCCTCCGGAGCCCCGGCTGCCGCCCCCCGAGCATCCCCCGCGCCACACAGCACAAGTTCAGGGGGGGCTGAGAATTTCAACAGGTGACAGCGGGGCATGAGACCGAACACGCGCACGTCTCGGCACAGGGGCGCCGCGTTCAGAAATGCGTTCTTTTCGCGGAAAGAAAAAAACAGTGGGAGGAGGAGCATGAGCACAGGGACTGCTGTGACGCGCCCGGGGTCTGCGGGGGGAGGAACCGATTCTACTTAGAAACAGGTGGCCTCTGTGAGGGCGGCCTTGGGAGCCCACAAACGGGGACACGCGGTGAGCTGGCGCAGTGTCCCCCACCGGGAGCGAGGGGGGCACGGACGAGGCACGTCACCCCCTGCTCCCTGGCCCCGCACGCCGGACCCTGCGGGCCTCTGCAGCGTCCCTCCCACCGCCCCTCAGTGCCCCCTCCACGCAGGCCAGTCCCCAGCAGCAGATGCGAAGCGGCCGTTGAAGCTATCCCAAGGACAGGACGGGGACAACGCTTCAGTCCCCTCGCGAACTCGGAGCCCTCTGACTCCAACGTCAGAGAGATGCTCTAAGCCATCTGACGTGCGCACCTGCAGCCAGCTCCTCTGCGGGGGCAGACAGTCACCCCCAGAAGTGGCCCGGGGCCACGGGACCCACGACACTGAGACATCCTCGGCACCCACGGAGCAGTGAGGTCGAGATGGCCGGAATCGTGACGAATTAAAAAGGTGACAAGTCGACTCTGCTGGATTCCATCCTTGGTGAAACTTAAACTTAAAATTCTTTAAGCTGCTTTCCTTTGAAATAAAATAGAGGGATATGCTTTTTCATTCTGTATAATTTTATTCTTCTATATTCCTTGAGTACTTGTAGACGTTCTAGTCCCATGGTTTATAAATTTTAGCGTGCGTGAGGATTTTTCAGAGAATGTGTTCAAAATGTGAATTCTTCAGCTCCCACCAGAAATATTGATTCAACAGGTCTTCACAGCAGGGGACCTAGAATGTGACTTCTTAACAGGTCACGTCCACAGTTGATTTTGATGCAGTTGGTCCAGGGACCATGATTTGAGAAATATTGCCCCAGGTTTTAAAATCTGAACCTGAAAATTTCGAGTTAAGGAAAATCCGAACTATAAACACTGTGTTTTCAGGAAATCTTTAACGCTTTGGATCCAAGAAAAAGTCATATCTGGTAAAATGCTATTAGTTAGTAATGCCTTAAAAAAATAAAGATGTACTTCCAAGGATAACTGTAATTAATTCTGTTTACTGTATCAGCTTTTAGAGTTTCATAGTATATTTTAGCATGTTAAAAGCTCTGAGAATTCCTGAATTAAAACATTCGTTGAAATTTAGTTAATTCTAGGGTCCCTACACTTACTAGATTTTGGAACATTTTTAATCCATCTTGAGATATAAGGGATTCTGAGGAGCGAAATTTGGTTGAAGAGGATTCACACACACATACAGGTGTATTTTTAGCATACACACACGAATACGCATTTATGAAACAATTACTTAAATGCAAGCTCTGAGTAATTTAGGGATGATTGTTCACTTTTTAAGACAAGAAGACTGATTTTGTGGTTATGACATATTTACAGGTGAAATTATGTGATGTTTGGGGTTTGCCTCTGGAAAGCCGAGGTGGGCTTGGGGAAGGAGGGCAGGGTATAGA